ATCTATCTATCTATCTATCTATCTATCTATCTATCTATCTCTATCTCATCTATGTATATCTATATCTCTCTCTATCCATCCATCTATAACTATATCTATCTATCTATGCATCTCTCTCTCTCTCTCTCTGCATCTATCTATCTATCTATCCACCCCTCCATCTATCACCTGTGTATGTTAACCTTTAACCTTATGCTTCATGGCGCTTCATGGCGTTTCCATTGATTGGGAAACCTGAGTGAGTCCATACCTGGAATCGGGGACCCATTTGCTCCTCACATTACAAAAAAGGCTGCTGAGACTTTTGGGAAAAATGCAGAGAAGAGCAACTGAGCTTGAGCTCTAGGAAAGATGGAAGGAAGGAAGGAAGGAAGGAAAGAGAAAGGAGGGAAGGAGGAAGAGGAGAAAGAAAGAAAAAGAGGGAGAGAAAGGAGAGAGGGAGGTAGAGAAAAGAAAAAAGAAAAGGAAGGAAGGAAAAGAAAGAAAGGGAGGGAGAGAGGGAGGAAGAGGAGAAATAAAAAAGAGAAAGAAAGAGAGAAAGGAGGGAGGGTGGAAGAGGAGAAAAGAAAGAAAAGAAAGACAGAAAGAAGGAAGGAAAAGAAAGAAAGGAGGGAGGGGGAAGAGGAGTAAGAAATAAAGGGAAAGAAAGAGAGAGACGGGAGGGAGGGAGGAAAGAAAGAAAAAGAAAAAAGAAAGAAGGAGGAAAAGAGGGAATGAAGGAAGGAGAAAAGAAAGAAAAGAAAAAGAAAGAAAAGAAAGAAGGAAGGAGGGGGGGAGAAGAAAAGAGAAAGAAAAGAAAGAAAGAAAGAGAGAGAGAGAGAGAGAGAGAAATGAAGAGAATCAACCTGGAATTAAGGAGAAACTTCCTAACAGTGAGGACAATTCACCAGGGGAACTGCTTGCCACCAGAAATTGTGCATGCTGATTTCGAAAGAAATGCCTGAGCTGCTTAAAATGTATAGAGCAGTGGTGGCTAACCTTTTGGGGATCCTGTGCCAAAAATTGTGTGCACGTTTGTGCGCGCACACTCACGTGCCAGCATCCAGAAGGCAATGCATGCGCCCCCTCACGCCCTCTGCACATGTGCGTGCAATTCCATTCATCCACCGGCCTAATAGCTGGTTTTGGGGCTGTTTCAGGCCTCTTTTGGCCTCCTAGAGGCTTGAGGGCAGCTTCCGCAGCCTTTGCAGGCTGAAAAATTGGGCTGTTTTGTCACTTCCGGTATTACAGGAAGTGAGAAACGGGCCTATTTTTCAGCCTGCAAAGGCTGCAGAAGTTGCCCTCAAGCCTCTAAGAGGCCAAAAAAAGGCCTCAAACAGGCCGAAAATCAACTGTGAGGTGCACGCATGCGCAGTAAGGTAAGTTTACCTGCGGCTCGCGTGCCGGCACAAATGGCTTTGCGTACCACCTGTGCCACGTGTGCCATAGGTTCGCCATCACGGATATAGAGGCTGAATTACAGCCTTGACTTAACAACCTTGTTCATTTAGTGACTGTTCGAAATTATATCCATGAGATTCAACAACTTCTTTTTCAACCCCGGCAAGGGGTTTTAAAACCGGTGGGAACCTCAACTCCCAGAATTCCCCCAGCCAGCTTTGCTTTGGCTTAGAACTGGGGGATTCTGGGAGTTGAAGTCCACGCTTCTTAAAATGGCCGAGGGTTGAGCACGCTGTGTAATAAGAAGTTGGCAAAAGCTGTGAAGTCAGGGATGTTGGGTGTTGTTGCAGTTGGTCAGGGAAACTTCGTGCTTGTGATGTTACCAGCTCTGGAGTTTTTGCCACACGCGATTCGCACTCATGATGTGGTTTTTTTTTTCCAGCATTGTGCTATGTGACACCATTAGTCCTCCACTTATGACCATCCGTTTAGTGACCCAAGTTTCAGTGGCACTGAGTTATGACCATTTTTCATGCAGCCTCCACGGGACAAAATACAGAGCCTCAGCAACTGGCACGTCCTTTCGGTCCCCTTTTGCGACCACGGGGAAGCCAGATTTGCTTAACGGCCACTTAATGACTCACTTAATAACAGAGGGAGGGTGCTCTCACAGACATTTCATTAGGAAATTCACTTCAGAGATCTGCTTAACCGCAGCGAAAAGAAAGCAAAAGTACATTCCAACTCTTAGCTTTTAAAAATTGGAACTAAAATACCACAGCTTTTTCCCGGGAATATATTGAATTGGAGAACGTGAAGGATGACACCCAGCCCGTGAACGGGGTCAATTGGAGAGTCTGGTTTATGAGACACCCAAGGGAGAGGGGGGGAGAACAGGGTCACAGGGGACTATTAAATTACCTATGCCAGAATTGGCTTTATACAGGGCAGGGCCAGTATGTCACCTCTAATGAATCCTTGGACGTTTTTTGAAGTTTGGCTCGAGGATCATGAATCAATTAGGGTGATTGCTGGAATCCTGACAATGACCTTTTCGAATTTGGTTCGCCCGATGAGGTGGGAGACCTGTTTCTCCGGGAACAACTTATTTCAACTTCTGTACCCCGTTTTTTTTTCTTCCCACTCCCTCCCCCCCCTCCCCCCACCCAGGCTGGCCTGCCTTTTTCTCAAACGCGGCGCTAACATGAATGCAGTCGACGGGGAAGGCAAAGACCCCCTGGGCATCGCCATCGATTCGGCCAACGCAGACATTGTAACCCTGTAAGAAAAGGCAGGGGGAGCCGGGGAGCGGGTGCCAATCTTGGCCTTGGAAGAAGGCGGGACGTATTGGGTGTTGGGGGGCTGTCACTCAACACTCCTGGCTTTCCTTGAACACACACACACACACACACACACACACACACACACACACACACACCGCTCTCTGCAATTTGGAGAAAGGCGGGTCATGAGTCGGAGGGGGTGGGCAAAAATGGATTCGTGGCACGGATTGGGGTCACCCAGTGGCCATCCAGACCAGTGGTGGTATTCTACCGGTTCGGCCCAGTTCATCCGAACTGGTAGTAAAAAAAAATTGCACAAGGGGGCAAGACGCTGCGAGAGGAAAAAAAAAGAAGGAAAAAGAAAGAGAAAAAGAAGGAGAAAGAAAGAAAAAGGGAGGGAGAGAGGGAGGGAGGAAAAAAGGAGAGGGAGGAAGGACCACACACCTTGGCCCTAGACGCCGTTTCAGAGGATGCTTTGGAACAGCAGGGCAATCCAAGGCTGGAAGGTACCTGGAGGTCATCTTGTCCAACCCCCTGCTCCAGAAAGTGAGTTTCTGTCTTTTGACAACCCCTCCAGTCCCACGCCCACCCAGCCACGCCCATGGAACTGATAGTAGACAAATTTGAATGCCGCCACTCATCCGAGACGTCCCCTCCCATTTTGGTGGTGCTGGGAGTTTCCGTAACGGGTTCTTAAGATCGGACAGGTGGTTTCTGTCCCTCCTCTTCGCCCTCTGAGCATGTAAAGATAAACCAGGATGGAATGCCGTCTGGAAGATTCCCACTCGGGTCTTACTAATGGGAAGTTTTGGAATAGTCTCCTAGGGTAGCCCCGGAAAGAATGCATTGCAGTAGTCTAGTCCACCGGTAGAGTAAGGCTCTCCATGTGGTTGGGGTGAAAGTCCCCCAATTTCCTGCAGGACGGAGACTTAGGTTGTATTTTGGTGGGGAGGGGACGCCATGTTTTTTGAGGGATAAATTGTCCTATTTGTGGATTCTCGGTGACTTCTTCCTTCCTTCCTCTAAAGGTTACGACTGGCCAAGATGCGGGAGGCTGAGCTGGCCTTGGGCCAGTCGGGTGAGTCTTGCCCTCCGTAAGAAGGAATGGACAGGGGTGGAGGAGAGGGAAGAAAGAGACCGACTCAGCCTCTTAACATAGATGTTCCTTTGCTAAAAATGTGAATTTTCAGACGAAAAGGGGAGCTTTTAAGGCTTGGAGCAGGACTAGAACTCACCACCTCCTGGTTCCTTGCCTCTTTTTTGGGGCAGCCCCTCAAATATAGGGAAAGCTACTATCCCGTCCCCCGTATTCCTTCTTTTCATCAAACTAGCCAAGCCCAGTTCTTGGTATGTTTGAGCCTCCAGTCCCCTAATCCTTTTAATTGTTCTTCTCCGCGCTCTTTCTAGAGTCTCAAAAATCTATTTTTATACGGACCGAAACTGGATTGGAGTATTCCAGGCGTGGTCCTGCCAAGGCCTTATATGATAATACTGTATATATATATATATATATCCTTGTCCTTTTGGGTTCCAGGTGATGAAACCTACCTGGACATTTTCCAAGATTTCTCCTTCATGGCGTCCAACGATCCGGAAAAGCTGGCCAGGAAAGCCTACGATCTCAAACTCACCACCTTGTGAAGCTGGGGAGATCGAAACCCACCTGGAACGTGGTTTTTTTCCTTCGGCCAGGATTCACGGAGTGGCGGGACTCTCCAAAAATTAAATTCATTTTACTCAGGTTGCCCAAGGGCGTGTCGGGGGGTGGGGGTGGTGGTTTTGAGCACACTTCCTCCAAATGTTCTTCCCACCCCGGTTGGATTTGGGGTGAATTTTTGGCCAAAAAAACAATCCAGCCGGGGCAGCAAAGATCAAAATAAGGGAAGGTTTTCTTCATTTTGAACATTTTTCTGTTCTTTTTTGTTTTTGTCCCTTCTTTCCTTGTTGTTTTTTAATTTATTTTTTTTAAACCGTCTATCATCTCAAAATGAATTCGAAGGGACAAGCGATGGAATCCATTTGCACTCCAGATCGAATATTTTATTCTATTTTTCTCCTGAGTCTGGAAAGAGTGACGTGTCGGGGGTCTGGAGTGGGGTGTGGTTTTTTTTGGAAACAAAGCTGTGAATTTTATTTGGGATTAAACATGTCTCTCCAGAGTGCAAGAATGATGGTTTGTTGGGGATATAGTAGATTCTTCAGAACAAGCTTTCCAAATGGCGTTTCTCTACCCCGTTGATGCTTGTTTGTTTCAGAAACTTCTTGGGAGCATCCGCGGTGTGTCTGAATCGCGCGCGTTTCCACTTTTTGCCAGCGAAACCTTTGAAAAAGCTAATTCCTTGTTTTAGTAGACGGGGGGAACGCCTTGAGGTAGTTTACCTGGATACCAGCAAAAGCTTTTAACTCGAGCAAGGGTGTCAAATTCCATTTCATTGGGCTGGGGATGACCGCGGGGAGGGGGTGTGGCCGACTGGGTGGCCGTGGCCAGCCTAATGCCACTCGCCAAACCGTTGGCCGGTTTCCTCTTCGCCTTGGGTAGACCCAGATGGCCGTGCCGGCCGGAGGCGACCACATCGCCAACCACGTCTAGCTGGAAGGCCTTGAATTTGGTGCACCCGGAACTAGATTCTCTGAGGATAGTTTAAACCAGGGGTCTCCAACCTTGGCAACTTTAAGCCTTGTGGACTTCAACTCCCAGAGTTCCTCAGCCAGCTTTGAGTTGAAGTCCACAAGTCTTAAAGTTGCCAAGGTTGGAGACCCCTGGTTTAAATGGCAGAACATAGGCTAGGCAGGATTTTGCTACCGGTTCGCACCGGTTGGGGCGACCCGGTTGCTAATTTTATCAATTTTTAATGACAAATCCCACCCCTTGGCCTGGGTCCGGCTAGGAATCTCCACGCGGCCCTTTTTGGGTGTCACGGAAGTGCAGGTTCAAGGCGGAAGCTCGGGGAGGGTGAAAACTGGGGCTTCCGGCAGGCCTCTGGAGCCCAGGGAGGCCGCGTTCACCCTCCCGGAGGGTCGCCTACGGCCAGGTCAGTGATGGCGCACCTTTTTGTGTGCTGTAAGCGTGCGCACGCGTGCCAACACCCACAGTGCAATGCGCTCTACCTTCCTTCACATGCAGCACTCCCCCCCTTACCTGCACTGCGCATGCATGCGCCGCCCGGAGGCCCGATGGAAGCCTCTGCAGCCTTTAGAGGCCAAAAAGCAGGCCCGTTTCGGCACTTCTAGTATTTTTCGAAGGGCCGGTTTTTCGCCTCCCGAGGCCACAGAGGCTTCCCTCCAGCCTCCGGGAGGCGCGTGCATGCGCAGTGCAGGTAAGTTTGTCTGGGCTTGTACAAATCGCTCTGCATGCGACCTGTGGCACACTGGCCATAGGTTCACCCTCATGGAGCTAAGTGGCACCACAGCTGCATCCAGGGGATGGAATGATGGCAACCAAAGGGACGCCTTAGGATGCCGGCTGGGGAATTCTGGGAGTTGGAAGTCCACGGTGCCCTTAAAGTTCCAGAGGTTGAGGATTCAAACCACCCCCGTTTGGGAAACCAGGTTTTCCTGGCCACAGGACAAGATTAGTCCTCGACTTAACAACCGTAATGGGACTAGTCCCGGATGGTCCTCGATCATGGTGGTCGTAAAACGGGTCACACACAAACACACACACACCCCGGGTGTCGTAGGACGAGGACAACCTGTATGAATTTAATAAATAAAGGAATAAATAATTAAATCCCGCAGAATTGGAGACACCAGGAAAGAGGTCCTCGATGGACGACCACAATCGAGCCCAACATTTCTGCCGTTAAGCGAGACATTGGTTAAGTTGCTCCATTGTGCGAACTTCCTGGCCACCTTTGTTAAGAAAACCACTTCTGTTGTTAATTTAGCAACAGGGTTGCTACGCGAATCTGCCTTTCCCCATGGATTTGGCATGTCAGAAGGTCACAAGTAGGAGAAATCACGGAACACTGCAATGGTCGTAAATTCAGCTTGAAAGTTGAACGGTCACTAAATGAATCATAAGTCGAGGACCGCTTACAACACGGTGGCATGGCGTCCTTCAAAAGAGCATGCTGGCAACAACCCAGCCTTTCTCCGGCCCTGTTTGCGCCAAGCGCTCTACACATGCTCAATAGAACTTTCATCTTTACTGTCAACACACCCGGTCAGGGAACCGGAAATATCCTCAGAATATTCTAGTTCAACCTTGGAATTGACTGAATGGACCTCATTCGGAGCCACAAAACGATGGTTTTGGGGTCGCAGCCACAAATGGGTGGCACTTGCCTTGCCTGGCCTTCTCCGGGCCAGCAGGTGCCCCCTCCCCGCCCCCCAGACCCCTTGTCATTATCTTTGAATGACCCCATAATCCTTTGCGGGGTGGAGTCTAGGCAACTGAACGTAGCTAGCAGCGTGTTTGCATGGCCGGATGCCCTTCCTGTGGCCGGTGTGGAGTTGTATTCGGCAGATATATTCTCGCCATGCCACAGAGAGAGAAATATCTGCCTCTACGATCCTAGAACTCACAGCCACCTGTGATTGTGAGGTGAAGCTCCACCTTTAGGCCACCTCTGGTAATCCGGGGGGAGGGGGGGCAGCCCCCCCCTCCCACCCTCCTTGGGGGCAGAGCCAGCCTTCATCCTTCTAGCTTTTTCCAGGAGCACCAAAGTTTGCAGCTGCCCGAAACCTCAAACATCTCCCCTCCCCCCCCCGGCAGAGAAAGCTTCACCTGGTTAAAGGTGCATTTCTACCTTCGGCTGCTGCAGGTAAAGAATTGGGGTGGGGGTGTCAGAGAATGAGGAAGGGGGGGGGAAATTGGACCCACACTTTGGTTCGCCAAAGTTGTCGTACTTCCTCTGTTTTTTTTTTCCAGCGCATTTTTTTTTGCTCCTATTGACTTGGTTCTCACACCTTCATTGGGATGGGGCGTGTGGGGGGGGGGAGAACAGGTAACCCGAGACCCCCCCCTCCTCAAAGGGGGCTGAATTGCGCTGCCCCACCTGCTGCGGGGACTTGTGGTCCGTCTGCCCCTAAGTTTTGACCAGGTACGGCCACCCTAGAGACATAGACGGTGCCCCTCCAGAATTAGGGTTCTATTTGTCCCCCAATCCCTTCTCTCCCCCCCACCTGCATTTCCCCTCCCCCTTTCCAGCCCCCCCACCCACCTTCTCATCTTCGATCCCAGTTTTTTTTAAAAACAACAACACATAAACCTGAATTCTGGGCAAACCCGCAATTTTAATATTAAAACGGCCGTCTTGCAAAAGAAAAAAAAAAGAAAAAAAAAGCCAGATTCCCACACAGGTCGTGTTACACCCCAAGCCCCCCCCGCCCTGCGCCCCCCCCCCCCCCAAAACACCCCCCCAATCCAACCAGTTCCAACTTCTCGTCTTTCCTTCTAAGAAATAAAAGCCGGTTTGTTGTAATCCTTCCGTCGGCCGACTCGATTATTTAAATTGGATCGGACTTGTTTTCCAACAAGGATTAGATTGGATTAGATTGACAGAGTTGGAAGGGATCCTGAAGGTCATCTAATCCAACCCTCCCCCCCCCCACAGGAAAAGCTGGAGACCCTACCCCATTTCTGACAAATGGCAGTGCAATCTCTTCTTGAAAGGGGGAGGGGGAGAAACGGCAGGCCAGCGACAAATACTCCTCGGTTTACGACCACAACGGAGGACCACATTCCCGTCTCTAAGTGAGACGCTGATTAAATGACCTTTGCCCTGTGGTACAGCCTTTCTTGCCACCATTGCTAAAGGAATCCCTGCATTGTCACACGGTTCTTAAGTGAATCCGGCAGCTCTGCTCGTCAGATGGTCGCAAAGGGGGATCGTGTGACCCCGGGATGCTGCGACCGTCATAAATATGAACCAGTCGCCAAGTGTCTGGATGTCGATCGCGTGACTGCGGGGATGTTTTCCAGTGCCACTGTAACATCAAATGGTCACTAAACGAATCATCCTAAGTTGAGGAATGCCTGTCTTAGAATGTACCGTATTCCCCTGAAAATAAGACTGGGTCTTATATTAATTTTTGCTCCAATAGATGCATTCGGGCTTATTCTCAGGTTAGGTCTTATTTTCAGGGAAATATGGTGCTAAATGCATCTGTCTGGCTGACAATCTTAACCGGGGCTTATTTTTGGGGTAGGGCTTATATTATGAGCATCCAAAAAAAATCATGCTAGGGCTTATTTTCCGGCTGGGTCTTATTTTCAGGGAAACAGAATAACCCCCCACAAAATCCTTTTTCCTCCTTTGCTTTGGGCTCTGCACAAGCCCGCAATTCACACAATCTCCCGCTCAGAATTTACACAAAAACTTGCGGGGGGGGGAAACAGCTGTCAGGATTCCAGCAGTTACCCCCCTCCCCCCCAATTAAATCAGGAGTCTCGAGCCAAACTTCCAAATCTTCCAAAGGATTTATTGGGGAGTTAACATGTCCGGCACTGCCTGGGTGTAGCCGACTCTGGAGACACATCATTCGCTGTCACCCTTGACCCTGGTTTTCCCCCCTGCACCCCCAGGGTGTATCATAATTCATATTCTCCAATGGGGCACCTCCCTAGCCCAGAGTCATCAATCATGCTCTCCAATTTTGCGTGGCAGAAGCGTCAGTCGCCTACTTACTATCTTTGAAAAACTATGGAGTGCACTTTCAATTTCCAAGCTGTCGCACTGCTCTTTCAGACCCCTTTTGCGCTTCCCTTGCTGTTGGCAACTCTAAAAAGACCAGAAAAATATTTTATGAGTCGACAACACCCATGTTCACCTTAACGAGAAACTTATAAGTTCCTCCTGGTTAACGGAAGACCGCTCCTGCCACCCGCAGGCCAGTTTTAGTATTGCGCCCGTCCAGATTTTTCAAAAAAAAGTGAAGGATGTTTTTACCTCCCCCTCCAGGACAAGGGGTGGGGCGAGCGGACCCCCCCACATTCTTTGCAAGGTCCCCCCTTGAAGACCTCTCCCCAACTGAGATGCTGCCCCCAGAAGATCCCCCGGACGGAGGATGGGGCTGGTTGGTGGTCCTCGCGGGATTTCTGGCCAACTCGCTCACTTTTGGCATTCTGAGATCTTTCGGCGTCCTCTTTGAGGACCTGGTGGGGGCTTTCCAGGCCACCACGGCCCAGGTGTCCTGGGTGACGGCCATCGCCTTGGCAACCAAGCAGTTTGCAAGTAAGTTTTTCTTTTTCCCCTAAGGGGGGCGCCAACCCCAAGAAGGCCCTGCTTAAATTCAGCCTGGTCTCTTTTTGCACCCGGAACTCTTAGTTTTTTAAATCGTGTGTGAGAGAGAGGAGAAAATAAAATTGGGGAGCAGGCCTCCTTGAATGAGGACCGTTCATTTAGTGAGCAACGTTGCAACTTACGACCAGACCTCAGACTTATAACCGTCACAGCATCTCCACGGTCAAGTGATCCAAATTCAGGCGTTCGTCATGTGATTCTACCCCCCCCCCCCCCTCAGTGGCGACCACCCCGGGAGTCTTTCGGCCAGCGAAGTCCATGGGGGCTTCGCTTAATGACCGCACGATTCACTTAACGATGGTGGAGACAAAAGGTGGCAAAATTAGGTGTGACTCGTTTAACAACCGAAGGCCCCACATACACACACCCTCTCTGTCTCTTCCTGGACAGGTCCGCTGGGCACTGCTGCAAGTACGCGCTACGGAGCCCGTCCTGTGGTCATGCTGGGGGGGCTACTGTCTTCATTGGGCACCTTTGGGGCCGCCTTCAGCACCTCCTTATTCCAGTTGTACCTCAGTCTGGGATTCCTGACAGGTGAGTTGGGCGGAGCCTGCATTCCGGAGTGCATAAATCTTCACCTGTCAAAATGGACAAGATGGCTGCCGGGGCCTGGTTGAAGCTCCACCCCTTTTGAGGCACGAAGCTTCACGGGGTGGCCATCTTGACTCTTTTGACCTCTCCCTGCAGAGACTCCTGCCTGAGACTTTTGTACCTGGGACGAGTTTGGTTCTAGCGTTTAAGAGGCTAGAAAACAGGAGATTGTGAATTCTAGTTGCGCCTTAGACACTTTTGGTCCAGTCACCAGGAGACGGGGAGTTCTAGTCCCATCTTAAGCTGAACGACTTAGGGCCAATCACCAGGCAATGGGGAGTTCTAGTTTAACCTTAGGCACGAAGGGCAGCTGGGTGACTTTGGGCCAATCCCCAAGAGATGGTGAGTTCTAGTCCTGCCTTATCCGTGAAAGCCAGCTGGGTGACTTTGGGCCAATCACCAGGAGAATGGGAGTTCTAGTCCCGCCTTAGGCATGAAAGCCAGCTGGGTGATTTTGGGCCAATCACCTGGAGACAGTGAGTTCTAGTCCCGCCTTAGGCATGAAAGCCAGCTGGGTGACTTTGGGCCAATCACCAGGAGAATGGGAGTTCTAGTCCCGCCTTAGGCACGAAAGCCAGCTGGGTGACTTTGGGCCAGTCCTTCTCTCCCAGCCCAGCCTACCTCACAGGGTTGTTGTTACGGAGGAAATAGGAGGGGGATAAGCCTTGAGTTGGGATCTCAATTCATAAAGACAAAATAAACATTCCCCTTTTCTCCTTTCTTTCTGCCTGCAGGGCTGGGCTGGGCCTTCGCCTTCGCCCCCACAATGGGCACCCTCTCACGCTATTTCTCCACCCGACGGTCGCTGGCCATGGGGCTGGCCTTAACCGGGAATGGACTGACCTCTTTTGCCCTATCTCCCATCTTGCACCTGGTGACCGACCGCCTTGCCTGGCGAGGCACCCTGATGGCCACCTCCGCCCTCAGCCTCCACCTGGTGCTTGGCGGGGCCCTCCTTCGCCCGCTGGCCTTACGGGGAGACCCCCCTAAGTTGACCGCCATCTTTGACGTGGGCCTCTTGGCTCAGCGAGGTTTTGGGTCATTTGCTCTGGGCACTGCCCTCCTGGCCGCTGGGTACTTCACCCCCTACGTCCACCTGGACGCCTATGGACGGGCGCTGGGCATCGAACCATACAGCGCGGCCTTCGTGGTTTCGCTCGCCGCCTTAGCTGACGCCCTGGCCCGGCTACTGGCCGGCTGCGTGGCCGACCGGCGTCTGCTGCCCCCTATTTACCTCCTGGTAGCCTTCAACACCTTGGTGGGGCTCACCCTCCTCTTCCTCCCCGCCTCCTCCTCCTATGCCGGCCTGCTCCTCCTGGCCGTACTCTACGGCGCCAGCGCGGGAAGCTTCGCGACGGTAGCCTTCGGGGTCTTGCCCGAGTTGGTTGGCGTCAGCCGCGTTGTGAACGCCACGGGGCTGTGCATGATGTCGATGAGCCTCGGGGGGTTGCTAGGACCCCCCCTCTCAGGTAAGGAGGAAAGGGGTGCTGTGAGAAGGCCGCTCACTCTTCCGGGGGGCCCGAACCCAGATGTTGTTCGGTGCAAGTTGAGTTCTGTGTTACTTAATATTGGGCGAACGTTTAAGACGGGTGGACTTCAACTCCCAGAACGCTGCAGCCAGCGCATCAATTTCCTATTTAATTGTCCTACCATCAAACACCGTAACTGACGTATTAATTTAGCTTCTCACGGGTTCTACCGCATTCCTACTATCTACTAATTTAAAAAATATGTGATTTTTTTTCTTATCCCATCCGTGTGCTGAATTCTAATAAACCTTTTGCTAGCTGGGATATTCTGGGAATCGCAGTCCACTGTCCCAAAGTGGCCAAGTTTTGAGAAACACGGCTAAATCCCAGCTGCTGTCTAGCTCATCCTGGGAACCTTGCAACGGTGAACGCAAGCCTCTATTTTCAGCCAGATCGAGGTTTTTTTCTGACAAGCTACGATTAAGCCACCAATGATGATTTTTTGTCTCTTCTTTTCTTCCCAGGTTTCCTGCGGGACCAAACCGGAGACTTTACTGCCTCGTTCCTGATCGGGGGAGCCTTTGTCCTCTCTGCCAGCCTGGTCTTCTTCCTTGGCCTCCCCTCCCCCTCGCCCGGCTGCCGCAGCGCCCAGCGAAACGAGATGTCCAGCATTGTGGGACAATAATTAGCCTCCCTTTCCCATGCCGGCCGGGAGACGTTTGGAAATATGAAAGACGCGCTACGTTCCTCCATCGGGGGACTTCTAGCAATGCCCATCAGCCAACCAGGATTGCGTTTTCTGACCCCAAAAAGCACTAATCCGACTCTTTGTCACGGCAAAACCTCTTTTATTAAACAAAGGTGAATTTCTTGCATTCGTGTTCAGCCAAAAGGCCTGGCCAACAGTCTTTCCAGGGTGTGATGAGGAGCACAGACCTTATCTAGCTTGGAGAGCTGCCAAGCGACTATATTCCAAGCGCAGTGCTGACAAGGAAGGGCTCAGCACGGGGTCTCTGAGATGCACAGACAGATCTTCCCACGGCAGCAACGAACAGATTGTTTCCCGCAAAAGCCCCCTCCCCTTTTGCTCCTCTTTTAATCCCTCTGGGAGGGGCCATTCACCATCCACCTGCGGCTTTACTCCCGAGTCGACCCTTGCTCCTTAGCTGTTCCCTTCTTCTGGCAGCTCTGTGCATGAGCACACTGGAAACAGGCTCCAGCTGTTCTTCTTCCCCACTGATCTCCGACTCTGAAGGCAGCTGATAACTGTCGGACGTCCCTGGCCCCGTCTCTGCCTCTTGTTCCTCAGCTGTTCCCTTCCTCTGGCAGCTCTGTGCATGAGCACACTGGGAACAGGCTCCAGCTGCTCTTCTGCCTCACTGTTGTTCGACTGTGAAGGCAGCTGATAACTCATTGAGGTGCAAAAGGGAGAGGGCCCCTTCCCCCAAATTGATGGGAGGGGGGCATCCAATGCATTGAACTTTCTCTGCGGGCTTCTTTAGTGCCCGACGTTCAAAGAGGACACGTGTGTCTGTTGCCACGTCCACAAAAGAATTAATTTTGGATGCAGGGAGCTCTGAGTTGGTGGGACAAACCAGAAACCGTTGGAGTTAGGTCCTCGAACTTACGACCATCATGGAGCCTTGCCCATCATGGTCCTAAGTCACGATGGTTGTAAATCAGGCCACCCACTGATAGGGATAGTCCTCGTTTTACGTCCACAATGGGCAGCAGAATTTCCATGGCTAAGCAAGGCGGTCATTGAGTGAGTCATATGCCCGGTTTAATGGTGCTTTTTTGGCCCAGGTTGTTAAGCCAATTGCGGTTAGGTCATTAAATGAACCATGCTGTCATTAAGAGGATCTGGCTTCCCCCCCTGAATTTTCCTCATCGGAACCCAACTGGGAAGGTCGCAAATGGTCGTAAGTCAAGGACTAACTGTATGACAAGCCTTTTTTTTAAACAGTGGATGTTAATGGAATAGGTCCGACATTAAATGAATCAATGGGACACTGCAAATGTCTGCAAATGGTTGCCAAGTCCCCGAAACACGTTCATGTGACGGGGGGGGGGGAGTCCGTCAGAACTTCAGAACTTGACCTTAAGTACCCCCTCCCCGCAAGGAGGTCATGATTTCAAACGGTCTCTAAGCGATGCGTCATAAGTTGAGGATCCCTTGTATTTTTAATACTCAGTCATCTTTGCAGGATGTCATTCTTAGGAGAGGCATCAGAGGGCGCTGTTGAGCTATTCAGGTAGTCCTTGACTTACAACCATTCATTTAGTGACCATTCAAAATTACAACCTCACTGGAGGAAAAAAGCGACATGACCATTTTTCACACTTATGACCGTTGCAGGTCACGTGATCCAAATTCAGGTGCTTGGCCTACGGACTCGTATTTACGACGGTCACAGCGTCCCGGAGGGTCAAATGCTGATCCCCTTTTTGCGACCTTCCGACAGGTCAATAGGGAAGCCAGATTCACTTAACAACCATGCTACGTATTCACTTAATGAAAAAAATTCAATTTAAAAAAAATTGAAGGCCTGGCATTTTCCATGTTTGATCCCAAAGGCAGAACATGCTGTTGTGTGCTGTTGTGTGCAGCTTTGCACAGTCTTCCTCCTCCTCCTCCTCCTCCTCCTCCTTCTTCTTCTTGTGAGTGTGTGAGTGAATTATTTGGGATGACCCTGTTCACAGAGCTATTTAAAATCACTCGACCCGTGTATGTGTGTATATATACACATGTCATGAAATTATCCTTTAGAAAAAAATAAAATATAAGTGTATTTATGTTCCCTCCACCCCACCCGGGGAAAAAAAGAACGCAGCTGCTGAATTTCAAAGTATTTCCTCCCCCTCCAGGTAACCCTGGCAGAGAAAGATCCCAGTTGCCGATTGATTTGATTGCTAAGCCTGTCTACTGCCACAAATTCCAGACTTGAGAGGAATTAAGAGTTTAAAAAAAATCTATGTAAATATATCTCAAGGAGCAAAAGAAGTCATGAATAGTTACAAATTCCTGGTTCCCCCCCCCCTAACGATTCTTAGCTTGAACAGGAAACCGAGGAAAGAAATTCAAGGAACAGACGTCTCACGACCCAACTAGGGAATATAATCAGTACTAGAAGGGAAGGAGGAGGGGGAGGGGGAGGACTGTGGGGTCCTTGGTGCTCTCTGAGCTGAGTTTTCTTGCTGATGTTTCATCGGTGCTAGAAGGGAGTGTAGTTTGTGGGGTGGGGGAGGAGGAGGAGGAGGAGCAGGAAGAAGAAGAAGAAGAAGAAGAAGAAGAAGAAGAAGAGGAGGAGGAGGAGGAGGAGGAGGAGGAGGAGGAGGAGAATGAGAAGAAGAAGAAGAAGAAGAAGAAGAGGAGGAGGAGGGGGGG